TGATGGCCACAGGCACAAACAGCTTTCAAAGAGGATTAGATAGATACACGGAGGATAAGTCTACCAGTGGCTACTAGCCATGGTGAATTTGGGGAACCTGGGGAGGTTCAGAGGCACTAAACCCAGAGCTAGGATGCAACCTCAACGGAAGGCCTCGGCCTCTCTGCCCTGCTGTTGGCCCTCCAGAGGAACTGGATAGCCACTGTGTGAGACAGGAGGCTGGACTAGATGGACCACTGATCTGATCCTGCAGGGCTCTCCTTATGTTCTTAGCAGGGGGTGGCCTCGGCCTGTTGTTGGCCCTCCAGAGGAACTGGTTGAGGCCGTTGTGTGAGACGGGAGGCTGGACTGGATGGACCCTCCCTGGTCTGACCCAGCAGGGCTCTTCTGATGCTCTTCTCAGGGGAAGGCCTTGGCCTCTGTGCTCAGTTTGTTGGCCCTCTAGAGGAACTGGTGAGACAGGATGTCGGACTAGATGGACCCTCACTGGTCCGATCCAGCAGGGCTCTGCTTATGTTCTTAACTGTCCCTGTTGTTTGACTTGCAGGCGATGAAACGGTTCCAGAATCCAGGCCCCTACAACGATGCTGCACTGCAACTGCTCCAACCCGACCACGTTCATCCTAATGGGGATTCCAGGGCTGGAGGCCGCCCACTTCTGGATCGCCTTCCCCTTCTGCTCCATGTACGTCATAGCCCTTCTGGGGAACGTCACCGTCCTCTGCGTGGTCAAGAGGGAGCCCACCCTGCACCTGCCCATGTACCACTTCCTCTGCATGCTGGCCACGATCGACCTGGTGCTCTGCACTTCCACCGTGCCCAAGATGCTTGGTATCTTCTGGTTCCACTCGCACACCATTGGCATCAAAGCGTGCGTCGCCCAGATGTTTTTCATCCATGGCTTCTCGGCGGTGGAGTCAGGGGTCCTGCTCGCCATGGCCTTTGACCGCTACGTGGCCATCTGCGCCCCCCTGCGCTACACGGCCATCCTCACCAGCTCCGTCATTGCCAAGATCGGCTGGGCGGCCTTCATGAGGGGCATTGGCTTCATGACCCCTTTGACCTGCCTGGTGAGCCGCCTACCCTTTTGCGGCTCCAACGTCATCGCCCACTCCTACTGCGAGCACAT